CTCTTATATAATAGAAAAATCTACATGCAAAAAAGAGCTAAAAATGAAGGAAGCCTTATTAATGAAAGCAAAAAAAAAGCAGTTAATAATATTATCTTCGAACATGGACAAAATATCTTGACGTTGTTTCGAAAAATGAAAACATTTTATAAGACATACATACAACAGACTGTGTCTATATTTCTGAGATGAGGTATTATGTACATTATTTACATTATTCGGACTATTGTCCTCATCTTTGTCGCCGTAATTATTACAACGTTTCCTCAAGGACACATGGCATAGTGGATAAAGGCGTTAGTTAGATCCAATGACAGGACCCAACGCGTGTGAGTTCAATAGTCTGTTAAGGCAGTGGAGAATTTTCAGAGGGAAATTAACAAGATATAACTGATAACTGTCATGGGACGTGGAACTAGAACTAGGGTTTATTTCGACATTCCAACCACCTGAAAAAGGCCGGAGTGTACATCGGCCGAAACGTTGTAATAAATATGGCGATAAAGATGAGGATAATATTCCGAATAATGTAAATACTCTATACAACAGACTATTTCTTATTTAACAGTTAAAATATTTAACCCTTGAAAATGGCTATATGTATAGCCGAAAATGCTCTGTTAAAAAGAATATTCGGACAGTTTTTTATATAATCTATCATCAGAAAAGAAAAACAAATTATTAGATCGCATGAGAAATTGTATGAAAAACTAAATAAAATCACCTTGTCTGTTGTATTCAATGAAATGTGCAGAGAGGGTTATGAGAGAAATCCACATAAAAGTAATTAAAAATAGATCAAGTGATAAAAATTGATTTTTGAGGGAGACATAATAAAAGAGAATAACAGAAGGAGCAAAATCTCGATTGAATGGTACCCGACAAATAAGTGGACTGGGCATGATTAAGAGGTTTGTACGTAAGACCTACCATAAAATAACTCAGATTGGTTGTCAGGGCTGAAGTTTGAAAAGGTCGATGATTCTGTGTTGCCCTAGACTAATTGATAGTCATGGCTGGAAAGACGAGTCTACCTTGCTATTTCACCCTATGGAAGTATAACAGATGGATTCATATGTTTCCTATGTGTATTTGCATATAATTCGAATTCGAATCGCTGATTTTTCGTTCTGAGGCGCTAACCATAACACCAAACACTAAATCGACACTCATTTGTATACCCCCATATATATATGCAACATAATATGTATATGCTTTTGTGTCACTGTGTGTTTGTATCTGTGTCTGTGTGCGGGTGAATGATAGCGCGTGCGCACATACACGCAAACACACATACATACATATATATATATATATATATATATATATATATATATACGATTCATAATAAATAGGGTATCCAAAGCGAAAAATATAAACTAAATTACTAAAGTAAATTGGCATCTGAACGTGGTGTAATGACTAGCAAACTTGTCTTGCGTAAATAATTACGACTTAGTAGTGAGTAAAATTCTCATTGGGTGCCTTATACTTTCGGCCTTGTGCCACATCTAAATTATGCTTAAAAACTCACGATAAACATAAGTAAATGTAATAATAATCATGTCTATTAATTAAAAATATTTAATTAAGTAATCAATAATAAATAATGGGAAAAGTTTAACTAATAACACAATAAAATGATCGCACTTGAATCCATAATTATTTCTGCGTAGACTTTCGAATAATTTTAATCATAACAGTTACTGATCACCCAATTCTCGTCTGTGAATATTGAAGGGAACACCTACAGATAACATTCTATTTCAGCACTGACGACTGTGTTTAGCATGAAGCAAACTGTCGGCGCTTGGTGTTGATTAAATGTTCACTTTTATATTTACATACGCTCTATCCAATATATTGTGCACTTTATCTAATAAATACAGCAAACCGTAAAACTATATTTTTACCGTATATACATAAATACATATATATATATATATATATATATATATATATATATATGAGACTATTTTACCACACACACATATATATATATATATATAACTATATTTTACTATATATATATATATATATATATATATATATATATATATATATATATGTGTGTGTGTGTGTGTGTGCGTGTGGGCGTGTGTGTGTGTGTGAGAGAGAGAGAGAGAGCCACACTACTACTACGTTCTCTAGGAGGCTGGGTTATCCTTTGAATGATGCGTCTGACATTTCTAAACATTTACAACATATACCTGTCGATATTCTCAATACAGAAAGACTATTGTTGAAAATAGATCTATAGTTTTTCATAAACTAAATATTCTTGAAGCTATCTCAAATTGAAAACAAACTATGAGAAATTAATCATGAATACTCCACAGATGTTTTAAAATGTGTACAGTAGATAATTTAAAATACCGAGGTTTGTACGAATAGTTCATAATACGCATGCGTTTTAAAAAAGAAAATTCTTGACACCTCATAACTAAGTTGCCACTCGTTACTCAGTTAATTGCACCAAACAAAGCGTACTTCATTTCATTTGAAAAAAAATGTTACCTTTCAGAGGAACACAGCAATTTTGTCTTTGAAAATGATGAACCCTACTATATTTACACTATTTACATTGTTCTGACTGTTATTCTCATCATTCTTACCAGATTTATCACAATGTTTCGGCCGCTGTATGCTCCAGTTTTCTTCAGGCGATTGGAATGCCGAACTGAACCCTTTATTTCGCTCGCTTAGAGTAGGCCGAAACGTTGTGATAAATATGGCAACAAAATGAGGATGACAGTCTGAACAATGTAAATAGTGTACATAATACCTCATCTCAGAAATATAAACATCTTCTATATTTGTCATGAAAAAAAAAAACAAAAAACAAAAAAAACAAAATCCCCCTGATGATAACATTTTGCCAATGTCGAAATTGTTCGGAATAAATAATATGTATTAATACGGTAATTTTCTCTCTTCCTTTAATAAAGACACCAAAAATATTGTCCATGAATATGAAACGATCCAATTGAAAATAAGTAAACAAAACTTATTCAATGATTGATATATATATATGTGTGTGTGTGCGTGTGTGTGTATGTCTCTGTGTGTCTCTCTCTCTCTCTCTGTAGTAAATATATAAGACCGTTTCAAAAGTTTTTTCTAATTTTTCAATAAATTAATACTGAATATGAGTGATATGTAAAACAAATAAAAGGAAGACTGAATAAGTTAATAAAAATGCACCTATACTAAAAAAAAGATTTAAAATGTTATTTGAATCATATTTCTTCTCGCTAATGTAGGTGATTTTGTTTTTAGCAATAAATTATTTTCTTGTAGCACTGTTACATAGACCAATTATATCAAATACAACTTTTTCAAATTGTCAGATATTTTTGCCATTCCTTCTGATTCACCTCCAAAATATACGACCTCTTTTCCTTACAGCCATCTTCATCGTTTCGCTGTATTAAAGCAGAGATTTAAAGAAAGGTGTTTGCAATTTGCACGCTTTATTGGGCGCCTAAATCGTCAATAGTGCTGCCGAGGACTCTTGCCATGCATATCTTGCAACCGCTGTGAAAGCGCATAAAACATTCTCAAATATTAATTCGTGAAATCAAACTATGATAATAATATTTAAAATGTCTGCATATGTAGATGTCACCACAGAGATCGATTAACCGAATAAAAAATAAGTATTTTACATTCGGAAATAGCGATTTTATCTGTTATTAACTCAATTAATGACTACCAGTAATGAGCAATTAATACAAGCATCAATAACAAAATCTGGTCATTTTATGCATAATTCATTTTTGAAACAAATTTTATGAAAATTATTTTATTAAAAGTATTATTAAATTACCCAATGTCGTCATTTATGTAAATTAATTTGATTAATACATTCTCGATTTAAATAGGTATTTTGACATATGAAAAGCATTTTACTTATAAAAATAAAGCGGATGTGTCGTTTGTGAATCCTGATATATATTTGTACAGTAACCCATTTTAACATATTGAAATCTGAGTCAATTTTAATGCATTAAACACGGAGAGATGATCAGTCTTTTTTTTTATAGATACCTATTTTAATGCATCAAAAAGATAGACATGATCGGTTTTATTACAGAAACCTATTTAAACGCACTGAACACGGCCACTTGATTACTTTTTTTCATGATAAATTAGAATTGCATATGAGAAATATCAGTTGAAAAGGGTTATTTTATTACATTTTATATTTCGTATTTCTTTTTGTCGTGTCTGTAATGCTGAACACTTATGTAATATCAATATGCCTATATGACTGTGAATGCTGGAAAGTTTCCTCTCAGATGAAGAAAAGACTTTTGGCAACAGGGATGTAGATTTTAGACCTTTTTTTCTACTAAGCAAACAGTCAGCACACCCTGACAAGAATAGTCCTTATTTAAAAAGTGTGTATATCTTTTCACGCCAACAACGTGATCCTTCTTACAAGAATAATTTACAGAATTTGAAATCTTTAATTCAAACTAGCGCAAAAATACTAGGTCCAGAAAATATTACCCCATCAAAAAGGTTATCACAAAAGAGTATTGAAATACGCCCAACTCCACCACAAACAATAACAAAGAGAACAATTTAAATGCTCTGATATAACTCAAAATAAAATTTCAAATAAAACAGCATCGTTTTCCCATTCATCCACTTTTTATAATGTTGTTGCAATCGGTACCCCCCTTCAATCACCGCATGCTTTTAAGCTCGCGAGATCATGTTTCCGCTAATAGTAGAGGTTTGTTCTGCAATGAAATCTTGCACTTAGAAAGCACAAACTTAAGCAGTTCCTCAAGAGCAGTATCTAGATCTGTTTGAACTGGGACTAAAGTACCGTTCGTCATTTTCCAACCCCAGCTGCAAGGACGAATTTGGCAATGGCATAAAGTATTCCATATTATAGCTTGAAGATGGAAACCGAGACTGTGGAACAAAGCTGACCGCTCATTCGGAGGCAATATTTCAGGCTGTACCATCTTCGTCGATGTTGCAGCCTACTCCGTATACTTGATGTACCTTAGAAAGTCCGGTGTATCACCTGGTTTCCCTCCATACATATTGACTAATATCTGCGACCCCACGGATGTAACTTGGACAGGAGAAGCAGTTGCATCAGCTAAAGTAGCGCAGGAAGTATGGATCTCCTTTGATTTATGAATAAGCGTGATTATTTCACATTCCACACGCACAAATACAGTCACAGCCATCCCACGTATAGATAACTGACATATTTTGCAGACGTAGGAGTTTGTCTTTTCTGTGAGTTCCCGGATGTTGTGCAGCTTTTTCAACTTTTCTTGAGACTTCTTTCTATCGGAACGCATATAAAGGTCAGTCCTGTCTAAGGAAAAATAAAAAAGAAAAGGAACAAGAATGCCTGTGATTTCAGCTACGACAAACACTAAATTTCCTTCAGTAGCTAGCTTGAGCGTTTCAGAAACAATGTCTCTGTCTGCGACTCCCTCACTTCGGGTCATCTGATGTCCGTCTGCTTACAAGGAACGACATAGCATCTGGAAAAATTGATCTTGGTTCTTCACGTTTGAATAACAACTTGCAATTCATCTTCGATTTGTATCTTAGCAGAAGTGCGAGCTGCTCTACGCTGATGTTCATGGTTTTATATGAACCGTCCTGCATTGTAACCATCAAAAATAATGCTTCATGGCCCATACATGCCCTTCATGTAGCTCACGTACTGTGCAACCGCATCACTGCATGTCACCCTAGGCAAACATTTTACTCGATTGAGGGTAGCACATCCCTCTGAAACAAACACTGTGTCAGTTATTGGCTGAGGGATAACAGAATATAGGAGTAGGTAGGATAGTAAATAGACAAACATTGTTTCGATTTGCGAAGAGGACGATGTTTTGAAAAGTTATGATTTCCCAAGTTCTAAACAAAGATAGCACATAAGAGAAGTAGTCGGATTTGCAGGTAAACCCACATTTTACACAAATATGTCACTGGAAGTATTTATGTATCACACCACTTTATCTTCGCCTCGCTTCATCTTCGAACGAGTACAAACATATTTTGAATTATTCGAAGGTGAAACAATTTTTTAAATCATAATTTCCCCATTCAAGGCAGTAAAGTCACGAGCAGCATGGGGTTACAGGGTGTGGAAGAATTAGGAACAGAAACATTAATAATAAGCGGTAAGTGGAAAGAGTAATCAGGAGGACAGTAAATAGCGTTTGACATTGAATTTAAATTCTTGCACATTAAAGCTGGTTGGAAAGTATGGAACCAGCAGGGAGTTTTCTAAACGAGAAGTCCGTGAAAAAAAATGATGGCATAGAATTTAAGGCTATATCTAGCCAGCTCAGCTGTAAATTCTTGGGATCACGACGCCAGTCTCGTACTGCGCTTAAATTAAAGACGCCTAGGTACCATAACGAAGAGCTCATCCGAACAATTACCATGAAAGTATCTACAGAAAAGAGAGTGTCTACTTACAGCGGTTGAAAAGTGACTAGAGCCGAGTCGCCAGACCTGGAGCAATAATATTGTTGAATCTCCTTTGGATTTGTCCAAGGTGCTAAATGTAAACATATGTGGCAGCAGTATTCTAAGCATGGTAGACTTATAGATTTGTAAGACAGATTCTGGAGAGAAAAATTGTCTCGTAAGACAAAATGAACCAAATTTCTTAGCAGCTGACCTAGCAATGGAGTCATTATAGTATCACGACTTCATGTCAGCTGAGAACTTTAGACGGAGAAGGCGCATCGAGTCATATTTCTAAAGGTTAGCATCAGCCATGCTCATCGAAGGCAGAGAGGGGTTTCTCAGATAATTTTTTTCAAATTATTTCAGAGACTCATTTAAGAGAGAAAATCGTTCACCGAAACCTTTGTATTGTTAAACCGGTTGTATTGGTGTGAGTGAACATTAATGCCAATTTACAACGTGGTTTATATGAAGGTGCGTTATACGAGTTAAATCAAGTGTCAAGCATAAAAGAAATAATTTTAAATACTTTCAGGATTTCAGTAGCATTCTGTAGCATCAACGAAGCACTGAACCTCAGCCCGAAAACGTGCCCAATTTTTGTATATGTAAGCATATATGTATATTTATATATAAAATAAGTTTTATTAGATATGACAATGTTTGTTCTAATTACTTTTTAGCGATTTTATCTTACTTTCGGACAAGAACACAAGAAGTATTGTTTCCGTGTGTGTAGAACTGTGCTCACATATATTTTCGGCAACAGAGAAATTACTAAAAAATAAATAAAACAGAACCTGTCAGTTTTAATAAAGGATATTCAGATGAAATATAATAACAAAATTTACATTATTTATAGACATATTTAAACTGTACGTCGAAAACTGTAACATTTATCTGAAGTCACAGAAGAAGAGAGAACGATACTTTTCAGAAATTGAGTAACGTGTTTTAGTTATGAAAAGAAAACATTAGAAAAGGTAAAAAGAGATTTGAAATGATATGTAATGTCTTCATTCCTGAAGGCTGGAC